ACGAGAGGTAACACCATAATATGATAAGTTTTTTTGAACATTGAATGCGACTTCACACTCTACCATGATAACGTGAACCATACGATTTCCGAATAATAATTTATCACTATGATTTGCTGTGTCTTGTGGATAGTAAAAGAGTAAGTATACCATACTCTTGCCATAGTATGTTTAGATGTATTACATATTACTATGTCCTACACTCCTACTAAAGGATTATGTTAAACTGCAGTTACCAGTTAACCACTTATCATTTAGCCCATCAGTATTCAATGAAAAAACTTGAAATCGCTATAATTTACATTAAAAAAATTACTATAAATTTCAAAATAATTTTTTCCAGGAAATAACGTTTCACATTATTACGATGCAGTGAAAAGTCGTCTTGTGTCAAGTTAAAAATAAAAATTATAAATTTTTTTTCATTTTCCATAATATAATATATTATTATATATTTATTTTATTGTTATCGATAACCATATAATATTCTTATTTATCGTACTAAATTTCCACTAAAATTTTCACTATTACAAAATTCATACAATCACTTAAAATTTTGATATTTTTAAGTTAAAATAAAATATATAAATATCGCTACCCAAATAATTTAAGTATGATACGTTATATATGTACTTATTATGCTTTTGAATATCAGTTATCTTTATCTATTGACAAAGTTCTAATGTTTAGTCTAATTATTTCTTTCATGTAATCAACACCACGAATTCACAACCCTCCATTATTCTGGGCGAGTCAAGCAATAAGAGTGTCCAAATCCCAATACCTAGTCTGCTTAATTAATTATACTATTAATGTTAACTCTTAGTCAGGGACACGGTTATCTACTATCAAGTAGATAACCTTGGTCGGGGATAGTGATACGATATTTCTATTTTTAAAACGATTCTTATCGGTCCATAATTTTACTCACCAAATTATATTTTCTTAAACATAATATCATTACGTATAATGTCTTCTTCTTTAGTACCAATTCATGCTTTCAGTTGGCATTCAAAAAATTAGAGGGCATGAATACAACGACGATAAATTAAAATGTGTAGGCTGGCTGTATAGACGACTGTTAGATCTTGGAAAATATTTATATAGAAATGTTATTCGTAGAAGCTTATGAATGACATACCGGTTCAGGCATTTTGTAGAATATAATATGAAGCGAATGAGTTTTCAATTTTACATTTAAAAGATATCTCTTTTTAAGATTTTTTTTATTATTTGATAGTTGAACATTTTTGTTATTAATATTATTTCCGATGTAAATATTAAAGATAGTTCCGTTTGGAATGTATTTGATGTAACATTATATATACGATGTACTAATAACCAAAGTACCAAACTGAAGGATGGAACAATCGCTATGGTGGTATTAAATTTGACGAATTTTGTTATAATTTAGAAAGCTGTTTAGAAGTTTCGATGTTTAGAAGTAAAATACAATAATTTTAAGTACCTACCTAATAATATTCTTTGTATATTTACAAAAATATTTTATTATAGAATATAAATTACAGAATTAATCGAGTATAACTGCATAACTAGTTTGTGTTAGCTGCTTCACATCCGATATATGAGGATGTAACTTCAGAATATTTCTATTATCATTAATTGGTTATATTGAGACTTTTTTCAAATAAAATATATTTTTAAATGTGCAACAAATGAAAAGTTGTTTATGTATTAAAATTAATTTATGTTTATTTTTATATATTAAGGTTACCGATGACGTTAAATCCATGTCTGAAAATGTTAAGTGTTCATAGCAACAGTTGATCAAAAAATATTAGGTTTACTTTTAAGATATGTGCATGTATAAAACAATTTTTGATATATTTCAAATAAGTCTGTACATTTACAAACATAAATTATACCTGTTGATAAATATACATTGTTAATTTTAATAATTTAATCCAGCTGTTTAAGGTTTATTAAATTTTATTAAATTTTTGTTTCGACAAAACTAACAATTAACATAATATTAAAACGAAATAGCAACAAATCAGAAACACATCAATTTTGTTTTGTAAAATATTATTTTAACATAGGTAAACAGTCAATAGTTGTATATAAGTATATGGCATACTTATTGTATTTTATCTAACAATATATATAATGTTAGATACTTTTTCATAATATAAAAACAAAAAATATACCTCAGAGTTATTTTTAATAATAATAACTGTTGAGATGAATAAAGTTTTTAACCATTAAAAGTTTTAATTACAAATAACAATAGTGTGTATTTATTCACTTGAAAGTTTGACTTTTAATGTTCGTAAATAAGCACCCGAAACCTTTGTTATTTGATAGTATACACCTTGACAGTCAATTGCTGGAACTCTACTCTTGTGTTATATTAAAATGACAATCAAAGGGATATGAATATCAAGATTTTTCTTAATTGATATTTAAATAGTTTGTTGATATATTTTTTTAAAACATAAGATGGTATTTTTATGTTATGACTTTTAAATGATAGGTACTCCGACAAAATTATGTTTATGATGTGTGACAAAGTTGAATAAATTGCCCAGCCAAATGATTATTTGCTGCCAACGTTTACTACACACGAAGTCATGAATAAAGTTTACAAATAAACTTTGATGAAGTCATTTTTACGTCGTTGGAAATTTTAAAATAATAGGTTACTAAAGGTAAATTACAACAATTTGAAGAAAACTATGATTTGTTGACGTTCTTTGGAAACTTGTAAAAAGCAATAACAATTATATAAACTTTACTGTGAAAATAATACTATTTTTTTATCACATTATATCTATATGATGTATCAGTATTTATATATTTCCAAATTTAAAAATAAAGACTTGACATACTTTCAGTTCCATTAGTTCAAACTTTAAATCATTCAATTTTCAAAACTTCTGTTTGAATATAGCTGAACAACCGATGCTGAATAGGAGAGTAATGGTAACGCAGTCCCCCTATATATTAGAGGTTTAAAAAATAAAATACATATTAAGATACAAATTAAGTTCTTCCATTGAAATTAAATAATAATATATTGTTGTACATATTTACATTTATTAAAAAAAAGTCGTGTATAGGACATTTTTTAACTCATTTAGTTTATTATTAAGTATATTTGAATCAGATGTAAATTAAAAATTAGTTATCATTTATTTCATAAGCTAATAAATCTCTTATTATTACTTAATATTTATTACCTTTAAATAGGTACTCCTATATTTGTAGTATAGACTGATGTAGTTGATTATGTTATATTTTAAGACACCTGCTTCATGCAAAATAAACAACACGGGACACGACACGGGACTACCCTACCCATAAATATTAAATATGGATGACAAATCAATTAAAAGCATTCGAGACGGACTAAATGACCAACTATCTTGACAACAAGACCATGAAGACCAACCAGACGACTTATGCACAAAACATTTAACATAGAATGTATAATATTATAACTATAGGTAATATTGTAATATTGTAATGCATTTTAAAAACATTAAGTACCTAAGTATACACTTACCTCTAAATCCTAGTTCCGCCCATGAAAGTATCACTAGTAAAAATACTTTTATAGAATAATATTCAAATATCAACTAAACTTTTCAGACAGAGGCACAGAGCACAGCCAATATGCATATTAAATTAATACCATAAAACGTAGGAAATCTCTTTTTTATATCTTTTGATTGCATTTATGTAATGCAATATCAGGAATCCGGGTAAAATACTGAGCTCGGAATCAGTATAATGCTTATGTCAATACTATTTGATGTAGGTAACTTATTATACTCCACCGTAAAAAGAAATATGTTATTTACTAAACAGAGTAACATTATACAGAGCCAAAGGAAATAGATGTCAATCTTTTTTTAATTAAAGATATAAATAAATATAACTTCAAAAAAGTGATTCTAAATTTATAAATTATTCGTATTTTAAGGTTTTTATTAAACAAATTACCTACATTTTAAAATGTTCAAGACTCTAATATAATACATTATGTATTTATGTAACTGTTTTAGGCTCAACACAGTGGATATGTGAATAAAATGTAAAGTCATGAATAGGTATATAGTTCTACCTATAGTCATTCATAATTTGCATTGAAATTTTCATCCGTTAAGACACTCCTATAATTGTGCTCAATTATTGTGTTTTTATCGTTTTAAAATCACCATCACTAAATTAAAGTTAAATTTTACAGATGTCATCTAGATTCTAGTTACTTAAATCTCTCAATAAAATATGTCCTGTGGTTTAATGCAGGGGTCTCCAACCTACGCTTTCGAGCCGGTTCCAACCAGCCAAGCCAACTGATATTTAGAAAATAATATATTAGTTTTGAATTTATTAATTTTACACTAAATCGGAAATTATAAAATAAAAGGTGTTTAATATATTATAACAACTTAATCATAGTTTAATGATTAATAAATTATATAAAATAATAATAACACTATTCTTATTATCTTTCTTAAATTTCATTATCAAATCTTTCTCAGTCTCTCTATACAATTTTGGCTCACGGCGCCGATAAGGGTAATTCGGTAATCGGCCCACTGTAAAAAAAAGTTGGAGACCCATGGTTAAATACATTTTGAACCTTCAACATATACATTGTCTTTGAAAATAATAATAATATATTCTACATCTAAACATGTTTTTAAAAACTCGTTGGATGTATGTCCGGTTTCGCGGGTAATGAAATTTGCATCATGTTTAGTCATTTTCGATCCAAACACACCACTCTCAGATTTATCTCCGTATCTCATATTTTATAAGACAATATTTAATGGCAGGGAGCTGACGTTACTCACTCTGAGCCAGCAGTATAGTAGATATGGAGAAATTCAAATATCACACGAAAATAATATCACAACAAGGTGAAACTTTAACTTTTTCTTCGCCGGAGTTCTGTGTGTACACGTCGCTTACACCATAGTAAATCGATTTCTACGTGTTCGATCGGTTGTCGACGACATTCACTCGTCAGCATGATTACAGCCCGTTTGATCGTTTTATCCTCGGCCCTCGTGATTATTGTCCCGGGCCACGTGTTCGGCGATGAAGCGAACAATGCCTTGTCCACAAATGTTTCACCTGGTAAGTATTGTCATACTGATTTAATATTACATAGTGATATTTTATAACGTTTAAATTTAGATTAGGATTTTTAGTTCAATACGATCAATGTTAAACTATTTTACTTTGTTATTTCCTGGACTTACTGTACCTAATAATAATACAATGGTTTCGCCCAAAGTTGGTCATTTTTTTCTAACAAAACTTATTTCTTTCAAAATAAAAACTACTACAGTAAATTTATAACTTGTCAGATGTTTAAAAAAAAAAGTTACAACTTTCGTATAAAGAAATAATTTTTTATTGACCGATATAATATTATATTCGATCTATTATTATCCATTGTAGTTGTACGGATTGGTTTTATTTGAATAACTTAATATGTTGTTCAATCAATATATTATATAATTTGTAAGTATATGTATTCGTTCAATGCTAACTATAATATTATGTATTAAGTATCGAAAAAAATACGCAAATATAATATTGTTGAACGTGTTTAAATAATAAATACATTTAAAGCATTATTGTTATCATAAAATACAAATTTTATAAAAAATCACATGGCAGCAGGGTGCGTATAACTCAAATCTATAAAAAAAAATGTAAGAGTAAGTAATTTTTATGAACTTCCAGAGTCGAGAGAGATTACGTATCCGTGCAAATGTCAAGAAAGCAAATGCAGCTGTTGTAGCGGAAATATACTTCAAAACTTTAACCTTAACATACGGCAACGGCTGTGCACCAACATAACATATAACGCCGATGACTTCGAATTCAACGTTCGTATATTATTCAATGATTACACGGTGTACAATAGAGATGTATCGGGTAAGTTTAAATATCATTAAATATATTAATATAAAATTCGTCGTTATAATATACACGAGTTTATGAAATAAAATAAAGTGCTTAAATTATTAATGAAAATCCAATTCATATTATATGTATAATAATAATAATGATAATAGCGATTAGGCAAAATTATTCAAGTATACAATTATCATTATTTTTAGTTAAAGTTAAAAATACCACCAATTATAATTTAAAACAAATCAATCATGATTAGAATGAACACATAATTAATTAACTAACATGAATTAAAAATATAATATTATTTTTAAAAATGCTAATTAAATGAGTACCTATTACCTACCTGCTAGGTACTTATGTTACACTTTCATTTACGTTATCTATACCACAATGTTATTTAAAATATTAATATAAAAACTTACATTTTTATTCCACAACAAAGCACGTTGCAAGTCGTAAGTCGTAAGATTATACTTCTTTCGTATGATATTTTATTATTCGTTTTATTTATTTGATTAGAATATGATTTTAATACATTTAATCAAAAGGTAATATTTAACAATAAAATATTGCTGCTATTATACTTATATTAGAATAATAGTAGTAGGTACACAAAAACATTTGACTAAAATATTTTAACACAATATTTAAATACAATTTTTTCAAATTGCACATTAGGTATTTCTATTGTTGGCCGCTCAATAGATTATTAATGTTATTATAAACCCAACAATTTCATATAATTAATTTTTCTATTAACTTATTTTATTCAAAAATATACAATTAACTTAATATGCGATTAGAATTCAATTCCAAAAATACTTGGTTTTGCGCAAACTAATATATTGTTATATAGGTTATAGGTAGTCATTTGTTCTAATAAAGTAATACCACCTACCTATTAATTTAAATAAACAATAGCTTATTTTTGTATATTGTTGTTTATTTCGTTTGTTAGAATAAACGTATTACATTTGTTTTCAAACAATACATTTTTGTCGACTCTACAATGATTATTAATTTAGTGAAATTTTTACTATTAGACGTGATGTAAGATGTAACTATATAGGCATCCATAATAAATAATTTTGTGCATCCCAATTAGATAGGTAGTTGTTTAACATAATTTAATGATTTTGACCGAAGATTATATCATTATTAAACTAACATATTCCTCAATTCACTCGGAATTTCATAGATATAAAAGCATATAAAATTAAAATACTACTATTAAATAATATTATTTTAAATCACAATTCACAGTAAAAAATACTATTATTGTACACGATATATTATGTACGTGTAAATAACAATATACCTGCATAAATAATACTATTATGGACAGTACATACCATGGTTTATAATCTTTTAACACTTTTCTTAAGTTTGGTTTCACGTCTTCTTTGTGAAAATCTGGGCTCGATTGAGCACTTTTTGAAGAACAAAATCTGAAAATTGTATAGACCTTGTCTTGGATGAATACAAAATAAAAAAAATTTTAATAAAAGTATAAAATAAAAATTAAAAAATTTATTTTAATTAACACTAAAACAACAAAAAAATAATGAAAAATTAAAGGTGTGGCGCTCCACTTGCAATTATACACACCTTTAAATTTTTCATATTTTTTGTTTTTTATGTTTTAAAATTTTAAATGAAACCAACATTTATAAAATAAATAATATATTAAAGTTTGCTTTATTGATTAATAATACACTAAAATGCTCACAAAAAACATAAAATTTAAACCCATTAGGTAGTATCAATGCCACCACATGTCCACATGGCACATCTCTAAAAATAATATTTCTTAATTTTCTACCTAAACCCTGTCCTGAAAGGCTTTGATGGTAGTATTAATAAAGGGACTATTCAATTATTATACTTCTGATTACCAGCGATATAAACTAATTTCGCTTGACATTTAGGTATCAATTATTTATGGGAAACTACCGGACTACGTATGATGGAGGATTTAGTTCATAATGAAACCGTTATCTTGGCCAATCACATATTTCAATTATAATGTCAAACTATTGAAGCGACTAATACACAGATCCTATATTATGTTATTATCTTTTCGGCCATTAACCAGCCAGCACCGTTGGCTCATAAATGTCACTCATTATATTGAAAATTGTTATTCATGACTTCGTGAGCATAAATATTTTTCATGTCATAATGTCAATGCCTATATATTTTATACAGTATTATTAAATGATTTGTTTTCTAAGTAGATTACATTTTATAAATTTAATAAGTATTGTTCGTAAGTATATTATGGTCTTGTCTATTACGGAAAATAGCATAAGTAAACTCTCGTAAGATTAACACAGAATTCTGTTCAAAATGTCAGGTTTTTATTTATGATAATCATTTGCAATGGCAGCGCGTGAATAGATTTTCGAAAATTCAATAAACGTATTAAACATTTTGTTTTAAAATCTTGTTAATAATTTCCATAGAAAGTATATTCAATATTATAATACATTAATACGCATACTATCAAATAATTGTCATCAGTTTTTAAATAAAAATGTTTCCAACAAAGGTGACGCAATTGCAAGTGTTTACCTTTACTTAGTATTAAATTGAATTACCTACTATCAAACTAGTGAGTCAATAAATTAACCCGTGCTTCAAAGATACTTTAGAGTTTAGAGTTACCGTAAGGTAATTTACTATATTCGTATTCAATAAAAAAATTACCGATTATAATATTATTATACTTAGTATCATTTAAAAACGAATAAAATATTTATCGTAATTTACCACATTTTACTTCGAAAATAATGTTTTATCATAATAAAATAGATGTCACTTTAGATGACATCTAGTTTAACCATAACAAATTAAAAATATTACAAGTGTCATAACCATAACAATAATATAGAATAAAACGATACAATCAAATTTAAACTCGTAAAGTAAGTTTCTAAATTCTAACCTGAATGAAATGAGTTATGCATATTACATATTTCATACAACCTACTTTCAACCTTTAATTTTAAATGTTTTTTTCTAAACTATATTATACACATGCTATATAGAATCAAAATTAATTTACCGTGATTATTTAAATGTTTTTATAAACTAAGTGATATTTTGTAAATTTAAGTTCCTACTACTTTTATGAAAATTATTCTAGAAACTACATTCTACGCCTACTAAATTTTATCGATTCGTTTTAATATTATTTTTATCGGTAATAAAAAAAAAAAAACCTATTTGCAGATATATTGCGATCATGTAAAGATAGGTATATAAGGTAAATTCTAACCGGTAGAATTTCAATGATCCTTGTTTATTTTTTGGTAGAAATATTTTATAATGGTTAGCCAATAATAATAATTGAGAACATTTTACCGGAAGGAAGTGGATACCGTCGTATTATTTTGATTACATTGGAATTGTCCGTTCTCATATATAACCCATGTGCTACATGTAAAACGACTATTTTATGAAGATTTTTCCTTCATGTGTGGTGTACAACAATAAATTGCCTGGTATCCATTCTGTACCTATCATTAAAGAGTTCGTATGGGAAGTAGTGAATATCTACGTTACGCGACTGTAGTAAAATTAATAACTATAGGTTATACCTAATTAAATATTCATCGTAAAAACTGTTGGCAATTTACTGTTGGCCGTTATTTCAATTATAATAATATAATATAATACTAATTCCGTATTTTGTCGAATAATAATAACAACAATAATATGGTTGAATAATTATTCATACTAAATTCGCCACCTAGGTATAGGCATGACGTTAAGTGACGTATTTTGTAGGCATCTGATGTCATGAGCGTTGTGCCTAAATTATTGTTTTCTTTATGTCTTAGAATATTTGAGAAACATTAATCATGAATAAAAACATATAGGTAGGTAGCAAGTACTGGACATATTTTGGAATATCTGTACTTTTTTTTTTACAAAGCACGGTGTTATCACTATTTATTGGGGCTTGTGCAGATAATAATATAATATCCATTTTCCTATAGGACTAAACCGACATATTAGCGTAGACCAGGGGTCACCAATTAATATTTTTGTAGGGCCACATTAGGAATCTGGAAATTGGGGCCATCAAATTGCAGACGTTGATAAAATCCAATGAACAAAAATGATAAATTACAAACATATAATACAGTGTACTCTCGTTAAATCGAAGATCACAGGGGGGGGGGGGGATTTCGACTTACTAAAAATGTCGAGTTATCAAAATCTTAATGTGTTATTGTTATTCAAGGGAAATTTTATATTGTTCAATATATCGATAATTTCGAGTTATTGAGGTATAAATGAGTTATACTTGAGTTATAACTTATAAGGTTCCAGTTACCGAGAGTACACTGTATTGACATTTTTACTTTTTTGTCTCGTCTGCGGGCCGCCATTTGGTGACCCCTGCCATAGACCTTATTTTAATATACTAATAGATGGAGCTGCATGGTTGTAGTTCCCGTGATCTTGTCATTCTACGCTGCTCTGGAAGACCCGTAGTACTACGCACATGCGCAGTAGATGATACAATAAACTGCGTACACTATAATATATTATATTATAGTATTTTTTTTTTTTAATTGATCTCTTTTTTGAAGCCCTGCGACTATGGCCATTAGCTTGATTGTGGGGTTATGATTGTAGGTAGTAGGGTTTGAAATTGTAGGGTTATTACACGTGTGTGTTGTGTTTGGCAGAATTTCTATTGGGGCACCCGTAGGTTTCTGCCATGCCCCGGAGTGGGGGATGGCGGCACTTGTGCTCCGGACACCGTGACTTGCCCGGAGAAAAATGCCGCCCAGTGGTCGAGAGAATCGAACCCTCGACCGCCAGCGCCGCAGACGACGTGTTCGACCGCTCGGCCACCTCGTCCCCCTATTATAATATTATACATCGCTGTAATGCCAATTCCCAGCTACCCAACACCGCCGGCCTTATAATGCTCCGTCTACTATATAGTATAATATTATGGTCTATGCATATTAGACGCATTAACCGATCGATCGTCGTAACTTGATTATTTATTAATATTATTATTATATTATTATTATTATTATTATATTATTTATTATCACGTTATACATTAGGTAGGAATCCGCGACCCATATGCGTGCCGATCTTCCCGCCTGCCTGGACCCGGAGCCGGGTGTGTTTGAAGTTCAGCAACGTGTACTTCGTGGGCCGCAACGTTCACGTGTGCTTGAGCATGGAAGCACAGACCGAGAAGAAACCCGTGTTCGCCGTCGACTTCAACTGCGTCCGGATGGGCACTATGGGAGTGGCGTTGCTAAAACCAGAGGACGGCGGTGGCCTAGAGCCACCACTGCCTGACGATCCGTCCGACGCTCAGGTCCAAGGAACGACGGCGGCAGTGGCAGTGGCAGTGGCGGCGGAAGACCCGACTACGAGCTCAACGGTGGTGAAAAAAAAAAAATACTAATACCGAACCGCCACGCTCTTGAATTTGGTGAAAACTCGATTTGGATAGTCCAACACAATCATAATATTAATAGATAGTGTTACAATATTATTATTACGTGTCGCATAATATTATTGTATAATCGTGAATGCTGACAAAATAATATTATTACCTACAACGAGTAAATATTTGGATATCAGTCGAGTTGGTTGGTTCGCGTATGTACATATATTATAAGTGACATACCTTATTTAATAAATTATTACTTAAATTATATCAACAGTATCGTTAATTACCGTTAACAGTTATTTATTACTAGTTATTGCGCTATTAAATCCATTTGAAAATGTATTTACTGATATTATTGAATTCATACAGTTCTACCATGTATATTTAGTTTAATGGTTACCTATGTATATTTTATATTTTATAAAGTATTTAAAATTTAAAACTGTATAAGAGAATAATCATATTATTCACCATATTGTTCATTCAAAAAAAAAAAAAATAGTTAGAAAATTTCTCAGTGAATATTATTATATCGAATTTAATAATAAATAATATTTTGTCGATTTTTCAATAATAACTTTTTGTGAAATACAATTCGCAATGCAATTTTATATACAAGTTAATCAAGCTGTTATACACCTATCTCATAATTTTAAGCCTTATTTATTTATATAAAGTAATAATTACTTTTATTGTTTTACGGTGTATAATATAGTATATATACTCATAACTCATTAATACTTGTTTAACTGTCATAGAGCAATAGGTAAAAAGCAGTTCAAAGAGCTTTAACTCTTTAAGTAAGTCACCTTTCTACTATCGAGATTGGAAATTTAATAAAAATTATACTTGTGAAATTGTGAAGAATAATAAACTGAGGAATTACATTTTTTAAGTTACTGACTACGTTAAATAAAATTACGTTATATACAATTTGTTGTTGATATTTTTAAAAAGGTTAATGTAAGATATACCATATACTATCGAAAATGTTTAATTGTTTGATTGTTTAATTTAACTTTTATTATTTGTGTTCTGGTCTAAAAGCAATTCCATAATAATATATAATCGATTTGTGTAATGTGTTATAATTTTACTATAATATTACTATGGTCTAATTTGCACACGTGTGAGACGGATACAACCATTCTAACAAAATATCATTCATATCACCATGTTCATTACTAACCTTAATATATGTATAGCTACCTAGATAAGGAATATTGATCAATATTTTAAAACCACGGTAAAGGTATAGTAATACAAAATCCAAAATAGCCACAGTTGTAATGACATTTTGAAATAGTTTATCCTAATGACTTTTATACTAAATATTTATTCATTAGTATTAGTATTAGTACTAATATAGATATACCTTCTTGTCAAAATATATCAATTAACAATGTTATTTGATACTTAGAAACCAAAAGGTTTGCCTGCCCTCATTGACTATTATATTTAATATGTAATTTATTGAATTGATTACTCTGTGTAGGGTCAACATCAAATCTCTTAACATACAACATGCGACAGTATATACATGGTGTAACAGATAGAACTGACTTTTGGAATAACTTTTGTTCTAATCATTATTTTTAATTTTTTTTTATATATATAATTTATAGCCACTTGCTCTACACGTGTAAGAGGAAAAAAATTATTTTTATTTTTTTATACTGAAAATAAAAAATTTTAAATTGGACTTAAATTTTTTTGAATAAATTCAAAATAACAAACTTGTGAATCTGATTTTAAGAACGATTTGGATGGTAAAACATTTATCTAAGTCTAGTAGTTTATTTTTTAGAATTTTTTAAAATATCAATATTTTTTTGATAAAATCAATTTGGAACGCAATAGCTTTTTTAAAAATATTATTTTTGGAAATTTTATAACATGGGTATATTCTTAAAACTATTTACTTATCATATAATTTCAACAATTTTTGTCATACATTTAAGTAGCATCATTTTTTTTTTTTTTTTTGGTCAGTTCTTTCTGTTACATACGGTATAATATAATATGTAATCTATCAATATAACACTCGTAAAAAGTTACTTGCCATAATATATTATAATATATTGATAAATAAATAAACCACTCGGATACTTGAAAATTCAACTTGTCTGGTACGGTTTGAATATATTATTATGTCACCGTGTTAACGGGGATTTAGGGTTCAGCGGTGTACAACAGGAAGTTATCAAATACCTGGTTATATAGGAAATAGTAAGGACGGGTAGAAACGTTAGGAGCAGAACATAATGTCTGCGAGAAAGGGAGAGGTAAAAGGGTGTAAAATAGAATAGATACGCTCTCTGTCGATTATGGTCGACATAACAAACACCAACTGTAATGTGTTTGCTCCGTTGCTCGCCAGACACTCAGGTCGAAAAACAACCCTTGTAACGTGTAGATTTATTGCGAACCATAATATAAAATCTTAATTTTGAAACGTACGGAATCATCAATCATGTAATACATATTAGAGTATTTATTAAAACGATTATTATTTGAGATGGATTTATTATATAAATATATTTAAAAATTTAAGAATTAATACAAGGTATCAGCTATTGCGATGTAAATTTGGTCAGAAGAAATCATATTATTATATTATAATATACCTCCGATATAATATAATATAGGTGTATAATAAATAGTAATATATAAAATATTATAATATTTTTGGGCATATTTTAATATAATTATTAAAAAAATATAAATGTATTTTGTTGCAAAATATTAGTTTCCAACTCCAATTGCATAAATTAATTTTAAAATATTATTTTTTAAATAGTTCATTACAAAATTTCAAAACGTATAGAAGTACGTCATTTATCGTTATTTATTTTTAAACAATATATTTTTAAATAAATGCATTGTTATTTTTAAAATGAGTTCAATGTAAATTGGATTTTAAATATTTATTTATTCATATTTTATAATTGTATTATTATTTATTATTATCATCAGTTACAACTACAAGGTTATTACCTCGCTTGTAAGTTGTAATAGTTAACACATTTTTTTATTATTATCAAAATGTAGTAATAATTAAATGTATTCATGATTGTTGATTGTTATTATTGTTTATACATAAAATGATAGGACATTTAAATAAACTTTCTATTTCTATGCGGGTAGTGGGTACGAAATTCACATTGTTATTATTTATTACTGAATATTGATAAAATATTAGTACGTAAAAGCTGAATACTTATGTAATTACGTAAACAATTACTGAAATTCGTAATAAAAAAAATGTTACCTCTACAACAATACATTTCAACACAAGCCGAAAATAATGACAATTATTTTTCATATCGTACAGAAACAAAAATTGTTATCCCTAAATACATTTTACATTCATTTGATTCCTAAAAAATGTAAGCCAACTAATACCTGGTAATCCCCTCACCTACTCCAAGAGGTTGAAAATAATTAATCTTATACTCAGTGTGAGGTCTATGTTGAAAATACACTGGACTCGTGACATAGTTGAGACGTGGTACGTTATCGTTTTTTTTTTTAAATCTAAAACCCTAATAGTATCCTCCAAGTTAAGTTTTATCAATGTCAACCCGTTCTGTAAATATTACTAAAGCATCAAGGCTGTTACGAGTTTTAAAAAAAAAATATTCGATTTCAAAATTCAAATTATTTTACTTCTATAAGCAGTTCATAGAAATGTGGAGAAACCTATTGTTTTCTATGATTATTGAGTATACCTTTATCAAAATAAATCAATCAATAAAATATTTTAAAAAGTAAAACGTTGGTATTGTCAAAAAAATTAATTTAATTTATCAAGAAATTATAGGTTTTTATCAATTATTTGGAATGAATGTACTTCTAAATACTGAAAATATTTAAAAACAACAATCTTCATAAAAAGTATTACAATAAGAAACATACTGAATATAGTAAACTTGACGATTGTGTTTTAAATAGATTGTTAGAGTATTGCGATGCATAAGATTTCCATAATTTCTATAATTAAATTTTAGAATTTAGATAAATATATCAAATGTTGATAAAATAAAAAATTTTTCATTATTGTTGATTAAAACTAATTTTACTAGACTGGAAAATTATCATTCGTTCGTTATATTTTTACTCATAAAATAATTAGCAATATTATCCTGTGGTATTTACTTGGATTATCAGTCAATACTGCCTTTCGTATAAAATTAAGTATTATTTAGTGTCTGTAAATCATAAGTCATAACCGTAATGTAATACTTGTTTTTTAATACTCCCGATTAGAAATTTAAAATTTACAAAAACAAAACAAAATAAAATATAATATTTAATTGGACTAAAAGTTGGGAGTTATAAGAAGGTCGTTGAAATTTATACTTTCTTCTCGCTCGCACACGAATGTACAAAGGTACTCGACACCTCTTCAAAAGAATGTAATTATAACACCCTATATTGATATAGGTACGTGAAAACTTTATCAATTATTTATATACTTTGTTTGTAGGTTACTTAGTTTCAAAGCCATATGCGTTATGGAATATATTGAAGAAGGTATAACTTGCTTACGTACTACAGAAATACTTGCGAATGGATTTTGAGCATAGCAAATTGACACATGCATCATCGAACCATACTTAAAAAGGCAAATACGTATAATAAGTGTCTCGAAACGTCAATTCTTCTTTTCCGTAAGGCATGGTTTTTTTTTATCATCTGAAAAGCTTAGTAAAATTAATTAAAATGCGTTTGGTAATTATTTATATTTTACATAATAATATTACCTATTATACCTAATAAAATAGTTACCGTTATTGGCAAGGCTGAGAAACTGAACTAATTTTTTACTCGTCAAGATAAGTTGAGACTTGAATTTAAGCTTAAATAGATTAATAAAGGTGTATTAATTAAGTTAGATTTTTTTTAAATAAATAAATATTTACAATCCATGCATCTATACAGAAGAAAATAAGCAAATTTGATAAAAGTAAATAGTAAGTTAATAAATAAGTAAATTATATTAGACACAA